CTCATATAAGATGTTTACAGTTCAGTGATAATACATGAGCAAGTCTGTATCTCCAAAAATAAACTCGCAACGAATAGATATTCACTCAGACTGGAGGCTCGTGCGCATCCAAGGCCATCTCGGAGGGACCCATGCGACAAAGCTCCAAGCGTTGCCACTGCTTTAGACTTTTCTGATTGCAATAGTTTTACGTATGCACTTTCATTTGAAACTAATTAATCAATTAAACATCATTATGTCATTATAAATCCATTTACGAGAAAAAATAAATGTAAAGAAAAGAGTATGTAATTTATTTGTGTAAACTCGTAAAAGCCTATAAATATCTGATACCTATTGTTACATCACAAGAAGCATCCACGGTAAATGAATATAAGAGATTTGATATAAGAGATTTGTATTTCAAAATATTTTTGATTTATCAACGTTTTCCGAATAGTTATTTGTAACGAACACTAAACAATTCATTGTCCCTCCATAACAAGTACTCCACTGGTGACTAAATGTTTATCGCTTGTTTCGAGCCGGAATCACGAAGTTAGGCGATGGGGGAAGAAGAGTAGACTGGAATAAAAAAAAAATAAATAAATGAAATAAATAATTATGGATCTAATAATTATATGCGCATATACGCATATACACGTGCATGACCATGTACCTTTACAATAATTTACATGCGTATACAATAAATGGCCTTCTACCTCCTCTGCAAGACTCCTAATAAACTGTTATATATACATATGTAAACGAATATATACACAAGAAAAAAGCAATAAAAGAGGTATAAAACGCGAAACAACCGATTTTATATAACAGTCATATTGTCTTGGGTCTGGATTTGCCCCTTTTCACGGGTGTCATTTGTTTGTTTGTTTCTATAACTTAGAGACTAATGATCATATCTTTACCTAACAAAGTGCGTTTGAAAGAGGAATAAGAGTAGTTTCTACAGTAATGAAATGGTAAAGATCCATAAATGAAAAAATTTAAAAAATGATCTTCCAATATCCAACTTTTTGTTTGTTTGTTTTTTCGAGCTTCAGAAGATTCCTTGTCCCAGAATTTTTATCCAATTGAAATTTTGTATATATCTTTGGAAACCTTGTGGAAATGCGCAGACAACTACCAAGCGTTTTTATTGAAATGTTGCATACTTTTTTATACAAATTTTTGAGAAAAAAAAATATATATATACATATATATATATTATTTCTTATTATTTTTGAAAAAAAAAAAAAAAAAAAAAAAAAAAAAAAAAAAAAAAAAAAAAAAAAAATTATTTCTTATTATTTTTTTCTGAGGAAACTAAATCGAATTTCCAAAAAAAGGCTTGTTAGTTGTCTTAGGAATTCATTGATGTTCATTCACATTTTTCTTCATGACACAAATCATAATCCTCTGGGACAAGGACCCTTCTGCACAGACACGTGAAAAAAAAAAAAAAAAAAAAAAAAAAAAAAAAAAGTTTTTTGTGCTGCCCCCCACGTAGGAACCCCCACAAATTTGGTATCAAAAGATGCGGAATATGAAAATACATAAAACATCCAAAAATCAAGAAAATCTATAAGAAATATTTACCAATATGACTCCCCACCCCCATAATTGGCCACGCCCCTTTTAGGGACGGTCCCCTTAATTAAAATGAGAATCAGTAGTTTATGATGAAATATCTTACAATTTTTTTTTTTTTTAATGCAAGTTTTGTATACAAAACACATAAAATATGCTTTCCATCAAAACTCCCTGGTAATATGCTGTAGCTTATAATGAGGTTTGTATGTATAAAGAGTTTGACGTACTAATTTAAAAAATAATCACATAAATAATAATGATATTTTGGTTTGGCTTTCCTGTAATGTTCAGTACTGTCCACCATCATTAAATTTGTTTTGCCTTGAAATTTGTCATTTCCATTGTAAAGGGCATCTCGGAAGTAGATTTGGGAACCTTGGAAGAATATGTGATATTGATCATTTTATGCTGAAGATGATAGTATACAATATCCGCTCTAAAATAAAAACTATGGAATTTAGAAATTCTGTTGTATATAAGGTTTCCCTAAAAAGTTGAAACAGATATTGTACCTTTTTCATGCATTTATGGGGGAAGGAGGGGAGAGAGAGAGAGAGAGAGAGAGAGAGAGAGAGAGAGAGAGAGAGAGAGAGAGAGAGAGAGGAGAGAGAGAGAGAGAGAGAGAGAGAGAGAGAGAGAGAGAGAGAGAATCAGAGGCCGTAGATACTATAAATACACAGTTAACCAACCTCATCCAGGTGTCCAGTGATTTCTATTCAATTATTTGCCAAAGTAATGTACACAACTGTCTGAACACCTACTACAGCATACTACATACAAGTCCACAGACCAAGCCACATGGATTTATGAAGATAGGTTATTCTTCTAATAATAACCTAAGATAAGTGTCACCAGGACATCTCCAACACTGCCACCGCTTGAGACCTACACACATACTATATATATATATATATATATATATTATATTATATATATATATATATATATATATATATATTATAAATATATATATATATATATATATATATATATATTTTATATATTATATAATGATACTTACATGGCTTTACTCTTTTTTCTCAGAGTATATACGCAAGTAATATGGATATACAATATGAGCTAGGCTAGGCAGTGATTTGAGCTGTGGCCACGGCCATCCACTCTGGAGAGGGGGAGGGGGTGCGGACAGTAATGTGGCAAGGCTGTTCTCTGTCTGTCTGTCTCTGCCCTCTCTCTGCCTGGGAGACTTAGAGAGGGTCATGTGACTTGGTCTGTGGACTTGTATGTACTATGCTATACTTACTCTATGCTGGTTCCCCATGCCCAAAGGCCATATTTCTAAATGTCATTATCAAACATGATTTTGATCTTGAGTAACTCATAATTTTTCCTTGACAAAAATGGGTTTAGTTTAGTTCATTAGATGAGGATGAATGAAATAGTTAACCTTAGGTGGGTATGCTACAAACATTCTTGAAAATTATAACCACCAAGTGACCAGCTGGTTTAGATTAGTGTTTGTTATGACTTAAGGGGAGCGTCACGGAAAATGGCCACCTTTCCCTACTCTTTACATCATAAAAAAATATCGGTTAGAGATAACTGATTGATTCTTTTTGCATGATATAGAGTAAAGAATTGCGCTCCGTTATATATATAAATTTTAACTTTGCTCCCCCATTGGGGGGGCACCCCCAAAAAGTTAAAAAAAATTGCAGTTTTTTGGTATGTCTTCTCCTAACTATCACAGTTCTTCGGTACAGTTCTTTACAGAATATTCCCCCAAAAATACTTGTGTTAGATCAACTCTAGCCTATAGCCATGTAAAAGGCGGAATTTTGAATTTCTTTTTTTTTTGGCGGGGGACAGCTTGACATAGAGAACTATTTTTGATTTTTTTTTTCAGCATTAAAATATTATTATTTTTTTTTAAGGCAAAAATTCAAAAATCGGCCTTTTACATGGCCTTGAGACGCCGAGGCTCTAGTGAAAGCAACAAACTGCATTTGGATCGCATGAAAATTACGTGGAGTTGGGAACCGAAGATTCATAAAAAAATGACGGAGCTACAGCGTTTTGTATTTGGCCCTAGCCAAAGTTCGTTATCTCTGTTATTTTTCACTGAATCTAATGATACTATATATAAAAAAAATTGCTTATTTAGTGTACTTTGCAATGCAATGATTACAAGTCAATATTTTCATGTTCAATAGGGACGCCATTCTGTAAAGGTATGTAATTTTTTTTTTCGTTGTTCATAAAAGTTGATATTTTCGTGTGAAAAGCTTAATAAATGCATTTTACCATAGAGACAACTAATCTAAACCAGATAAAACCCTTTTTTAAATTTTTTTATTTTTTATTTTTCATTTTATTTTTATTATTTTTTTTTATTTTGAAGAAATGGGGAACTGTGGATGACATTAACAAAAAATCATTCTAATTATAAAGTCCTGGCATGAATACAACATGGTGGTTCAATTTTGAGAATTTTAAAAGCATATGAATTTAGTACATTGAATTTGAGAACTTACGAAAGTCGTTGAATATTTCCCATGCCACACAAGGGGGGGGGGGGGAGAGAAGAGGAGAGAGAGAGAGAGAGAGAGAGAGAGAGAGAGAGAGAGAGAGAGAGAGAGAGAGAGAGAGAGAGAGAGAGAGATGGTCACTAGGTGTTTTTTTCTGTACGTGAACGCACGCACATAAAGTTAAAAAGATTAATCATCATAATTTAGTAGGCCTACATTGACTTTCATATCTAAATAATAAAATATATTAGTTATCCCTCTCATACCGTTTTCTTCGATAATTGTCAATATTAACAGATTGCAAAGGAGAACAAGTGTATAGTTTATGATTAGCCATTTGCACCCATTATTTTTACTAAGAAGTGCATAAAATCATGCAGACGCCTAGGTGTTGTGGGATATTTGCCAATTTATGGTGCCTAAGACTTACGGTAACGTCTAAACATATTCATTTTTATCAGGAACGCACGAAACGGATGCGATAGCTTTTTGAACGCTAGACGAAGTCTGCGCATACAGCCGAGCTCAAAATTCCATATAGTTTTTATTTCAGAGCAGGTATTACTGAGTACTATCATCTTTAACATGAAATAATCTGTATCTCGCTTATACATCCGAAGTTTAAAAATCTGACATTTAGGTAACATTCGTACTGAATTGGTCTTTACAACGGTAACTACCAATTTCAAATCAATTCAAATTGCCCCCTGCTGTGATGTACCTCGTATTACCTCGTAAACTAAAACATATTACCAGGGAGTCTCGATCAAAGTTTATTTCGTGTGTAAAAGGACACAAAACTTACATTTTTTTTTTGATATATTTCATAAAATATTTCGTCATAAATCACGGTGATATAATGTTTTCCTGATATTGGTATAAAAGTGTTCCTTGAACATTCACAAACTCATATCTATGCGCAATGTCATAGTCAAATGCCTTATGCATGATTGCCGCAAGCAAAAGTCCACATAGGTGTACCTGGGCGCTCATTAGCGACGTACCTCTCCGGGTGCTGAGGGACTCGCGCGCCGGCTGCAAGACAACGAGCCATAGCAGGTTCTTAATATTCGTTTGGTAGTTTCCTCATCCATGTACCTATACTATACGCTAATTAACTCAATTTAACCCCCTTCCCCCCCCTCTCTCAGGGACGGTCCCCTTAATGTGTTTATTAAACATTTCAGACAGAAATATCTGCTTTCATATCCCTTAATGTGTTTATTAAACATTTCAGACAGAAATATCTGCTTTCATAAAAAAGAGGTACTATTACCATTATGAAATATGGTCCCTATTGAAAACAATAACACTCATTTCAAAATACAAAAAATTATTTTTTTCTTTAAATATATCATTATATTTAATTTAAAATAAAAGAGATAACAACCTTGGCAAGTATCCAAATTTCCAATGGCCTATTCTCAGTTCCTTGTTTACAGAAGTAGCAGTACCGTCCAGCTGCTGTAATTTTCATGCTCTTCAAAACCAGTTGGCTGTGTTCGCAAGACCATCAGTATGTGTAGGATGTGTCAGCTACCAATTTTTTAATTTCAGAAAAATACAAAATACACTAAAAGAAAAAATATGGATTACACAAAACTGGAAAAAAAAACGCAAACAGTATCCCTCCCCCCCACAAAAAAAATTATGGAAATAAAAAATCCGGATCCAAGATACCCTTCGTATACTTGATCTAACTCTAAGTTAGTTCTGGGAAAAAATAGGAACCTTGCATGGTACCACAGATGGTGGGGAGGGAATGGGGGGATGAAGCACAATGATATACTCTATAAATGCAAAAAAATTTACTAGTTATCTAAAACCCTCATCTTTTCACAATTGATTAGTTATCTAAAACCCTTATCTTTTCACAATTGATTAGTTATTTAAAACCCTTATCATTTCACAATCAAATATGATTTGGGCAAGGTAGGCCTTGGCTGGGTTGGTTTCCTTAAGCAAGGAAATAGGTACTGCATTATGAAAAAAGAAGAAGAAGAAGAAGAAGAAGAAGAAGAAGAAGAAGAAGAAGAAGAAGAAGAAGAAGAAGAAGAAGAAGAAGAAGAAGAAGAAGAAGAAGAAGAAGAAGAAAGAGAAGAAGGAGAAGAAGAAAAAGAAATGGTTGCAACAACATGCAAAAATCTCTGTAATGGCAATAAGCCAGAAAGAAAACATAGAAAAATACAGCATTAAACTAAATGCATATGCAGAATTGATACAGGAAATTATAGCACACACACAAAAAAGCAAACACTCACTCAGGCTTAATAGGTGGCATACCAGGGGTCTTCCACCAGGCATCCCAGTCAACCACATCAAAAACACTCTTCTTGTCGGCGAAAAACTCAAACAGGAAGTTGCGGAATATGTCTGAGTCAATGGACTGGTACTTGAACTTGTCCAGGTAAGCTTTGAGGAATGGCTCGAACTTGGCTGCAATGTAAGAAGAGGGAGTCAGTTGTCTTCTATTAACTCACTCGGAGCAGGACTTCCTGGTGCCAAGGTACAGCCAGTCACTTGAGTAAGAAATTGGAAGCTAGCTGCAGCATAAATGAGTGCTTAGGAAATGAGAATAAAAAGAGGCTGTAAATCATTTTGATAACATCCAGGGCCAAAAGGGCAATCAACTATTTAGTATACACAATTTAGACCAGGCTCAATGGTGCAAGTTGTCATATGATGTCACTCCAGCATAACATTTTCACTATGAAAAAAGAATGTCATCTGGCATAAATCGGTTAACTGTGTTATTTAAGGAGACACAAAAACATGTAATAAAGTAGAAAGAAGAAGAAGAAGAAAAAAATAACGATAATAAGAAAAAGAAGTACATAAAAGAAGATAGAGGAAGAGGAGGAGGAAAAGAAAATGAAGAGGAAGAAGTTGAGAAGGAGAGAAGAAGCTGGTGAAGGAGGACAAGAGAGCAAAGCTACTTCAATTCCACTAATACCTGACAGTAATAATAAAAATGATAATAAAAATGAAGAAAACCATATACAACAAGGTCTGAGCTCTAATACTAATAATAATAATACTAAAATCCTAATATCACTTTACAAATTACCAAACAACATAAAAGCTATTAATTGTGAAAACCTTGATTAACCCAATGCTGCCAGGAAATTTTCCAATATGCAAACCCTCCATCGTGTCATCACCCTAGCATGCACGCCCACACACGCAATAGCAGCATTCCCCGTCTTTTCTTTATAACTATTTTGTATTTTTTTGGTATTATCATTTTCTAAAGTCTGTATTTTCTGATAAGTCAAGAACATAGGATATTTTTTCCATACAATATCACCCTTTACTCTGATAAAATAAGCAATGCGTGGTATCTTGGGGTTATATCCGTAGGTTTTACTTGATTTTTTTTTTTTTTTTTAATCATCTTATAAAACCACTTCTAGTTTTTAAATGAGGTCTACATCAAAACTTTGTCGGGTGGATATAGATTTCAATTTCTTTGCTCAGTGTGTGGTTTTATATATTCATGATTATATCATATATGTATCACACTTAAAAGTTTATATTGGTATTCCTGATATATCACAAATGTTATTCCTTAAAGGTTGTATTATTCCATATTAGTGTATCAAGTGCTCTAAATTTATTATGATTTTTTTTTTTTTTTTTTTTTTTACAAAGTATGTTTCAGTATTTCCAAATGGTTTACATCATTCCTTTGTGAGTACCACATACATAACTTACCACTAACCATGTAGTATTATACATTCATAATCTTATTATATTTGTCAATTTATATTACTGATGCTTCTGAAATATCAAGATAATTATTTTCTGAGTATTCACTCAGTCAGGTTGTGCCACTTCACTGGTTCAAGTTCTTTATACAGTTGGGTAAACTAACTTGTTCCACATTCCCTTGTTCAACAACTAAAGCCTTGTTTGTGATGTTTTTCTCTTTCCTTTTTAACTTTTTGTTACCGCCACCCCCACTTGACATTGTTATTTTGCAGGTCTATGTCAGACTATTCACCTCCCTTACTTCTTTTCCCACTCCCTTTGTACACACGGACATTTGTATGTTAAAATCTACTTCATTACATAATCAGTGTCAAAAAGCTCATATTTTGTTGCAGTTAAAACAAAAACTCATGGCATGATCATTCATGCCCCTGGAATATGGGATTGGTACCATGGCATGTATTCATATGCCACCAGGAATTGCCACCATGCATGCCATGCTAGGTGGCATGTCAATGCCATCCAGCAGCTAGAGGTTAATCATGGTAGAAATAACTTTAAAGAAACTGCAAAAAATAAAAAGAATAGGCTCATAAAGCATATACACTTATACCTACTTTGGATCACTCTTTAATGGATATCAGAAGCAACACATGTAGTTTATTGCTCGACTGGCTCATCTTTTTTCACGCGTCAGTGCATTTAGGTGGTATAGTATTTATAATTTTCTATAACCATGTTCTTGGAGAAAGAGTAAAAAATGAATATAACAGCAGCACAAGAGCCTGAGTCAAGTTGTAAAGTGGTGCATTTGTGAAGCAAGTATGTAAGGAATATGGCATATAGATCTAGTTGCTTCATGGGAATCACATGCACCAAAATACAAGCATTAGGCTTACATAAACTTCCGCTCTGATGGGTGTAGGCCAGGTGCACACAAACACCTGTATACAGTGACAAGACTCTATACATCCCCTTTACAATGACATTTTGCATAAGCATTTATAGCTTTCTCCAATGTCCATATTTGTCATCTGATTTGCTTTATCAAGATGGCAATAGACTGCTTTCCTTGTACAGAGTATATCATCTCTCTATGTAGTAAATAAATCAGTGCAAGAAAAAGAAAAAGAAAAAAAAAGTAACTATATATTTGTTTCATTTTAAAAATCTTTATCATACTATTAAATTTTCTGCAATACAACCTCTACCGTAGGTCAAGGCAGCAAAGAATAGGATGCTGAGCATGGAAATGGTGTCCTCCCTGGATCAAGCACTTTTTCAGTCATGGCTCAGGCACTACATTCCACACTCATTTATTAATGTGAATAATGCAAAAGCCCCTTTTTAAAAACCAAACGACTCTAATCAGCGTTCAAGAGGTTTGCGCACGCGTGGCGAGTCCTTTTCATCACCATAGCCTTCACTCATGACAGCAAATTCATGCCACCCAGCCTGCAGCCATTTTCTCCTATGATTGGCATATTCACATCATTCACTCCTCAGCCAAATCTTTTCATGATATGATGGCCACATCACCTGGATCAAATGGTTGAAAGTACAGGACTGTGTTATTCCTTTTCCTTTTGAAATGTAATTGCTGACAGTTACCACTACAGACTTAATTATGGACAGTCAGTAAAATTGGATTGATGTTGCCCCCCTTTAGTCTGTTAAACAATGTATGAGTGTATTCCTAGAAAGTGGATATTGACCGCATGAAAGAGGCTGGCCCGGATTCTGCCTGCCCACCGGCTGCGGCCCACGACAGAATCGGAGCACAAGCTCTGATCCAACGTCACACTGGTGGGATGCCTGGCAATGTTTATTTTTCCAGGTGTCTCATATATGGGACACCCGTCATAGATGGGTTAAGACACTGAAGATGACTATGACAAGAACATAAAGAATAAATTACTCTGTACACCAACTTACATAGATTACTATTACAAAACATAAAATCACATACACTGCATAGTGTCTCCTTTGGGTAAAGCTGTATGAGACTGAGGAAGAAGAAGAAGAAGAAGAAGAAGAAGAAGAAGAAGAGGAAGGGAAGAAGAAGAAAAAGAAGAAAAGAGAAAACCAAATACAACACCTGTCTTTAACTTACATGGTCCTCCAACAAGGGTTTCCAAATACCACAAGAACGTGTGTCCCTTCTCATAGGGAACAGTGGAGAATGCATCATCAGGATCCACGCCAGTGAGGTCCGGTATCAGGCAAGTTAATGGGTCTTTTCCATCATCTCTTGAACGGATCTGTCAATAAAGTGAAGGATTGTGCTGAACAAATTCAGTTTTGTTTTCATATCTGCATTCTTAAATGATGTTTCCTAAAATGAAAAAGGAAGCACACAAAAATCTTCAGGTGGGATTACTTTGCTATATTGTTAAAAAAAATCCATGACACATAAAAGAGGAAAAATGAAATTCTCTGATAACTTACACAATCTCGTAAATCCTTCCAACCCCCTATTGCGGAAAAGTTTCTGGTAGCCTCACCATGCATCCTGCCAGCAATCTTACGCTCCACAAACATGGTGAAGCCCTCATTCAGCCAGAAGTGCTCCCATTGCTTATTGGTGACCAGATTTCCCGTCCATGAGTGACTAATCTCATGTGCAACAACATCGGCTAGGGACCTGTCACCAGCCTGTAAAAATAAACGGGCATTATATTTCCATTAAAGACAGAGAAAAGAAACAAACAAAACAAGCCATTAGTCAGTTTATTCATACCAGCAAGGTTGGAGTGACGAAAGTGAGGCACGGATTCTCCATCCCACCATATGGGAAGCTTGGTGGAAGGATCAGCAAATCATACTGACCCCATACGTAGTCACCGCAAAGTGCCTCAGCAGTCTTTAACATGGTCTCAGTCTGAAAAATATGCCATAATTAACATTCCCTACACTCAAAAGAATCTCACAAGCTATGGAATAACTGTAATTCTAACATGACATCAACATCAGTCAGTGAACCTATTAAACCCAATGGCACCAGATGCATGCATTGTCTACCATGGCTTTGTTCTATCAATTTTATTCACACACTGGTGGCTTTACAGACACTTAGCAGAGAGTCAGTTAATAAGCATACCTAACCTCACTTGTTTACCCCATTTGAATATTTATGAAAAACTGTATATTTCTATTACTATAAATATAAATATTAATGCTATTATTATCTTTATCATTATCATTATTATTACTATCATCATCATAATTATCCTTATCACTGCTAGTAATAACGATAACAGTAATGAAAATCAAAACTTTTCTTTCCTAACATCCAAGGAATGTGATAAACAGATTAAGTAAATTATGCCTAGTAGCTGACTCCTTGGTAAGAAATTCCTTCTGGAACCATCTATGTGTAAAAAAAAATCTCACAAGACAAAACCACAGAGGGCATTGCATGTATGCATGCACTCCTGGTATCTATGGGTAAAAACAAAAGAATATAAAAATTCACCTTTATATAGCATAATTTAAATGTCATATCCACCAATGGAAAGCCCTAGTAATTTAAGTAAAAAACTTACCTCAGAGAACTCAAATGCTGCCTTGTCAACAAACTCCTTCTCTGACCAGACTAAGGTGCGAGGACCAACTTCACGACTTTCCAGCGCTCCGACTGCTATAGCTATCAGGTACGATGGCATTGGTACTGGCTGACGGAATCTATCAACATCAAGAAAAATATATAGGTACAACAACTATAAACCATTATTTCTCTTTCATCTACTAATCTGACATAATATAAAAAGGCATTGATGCGATATGGGCATCTTTGTGCACTGAATGTTAAGTGCCCTGTACTGCTGCTGCTCCTGCTTTCCCCTGCCTAGTGGTGATGGTCTAACTGAAGCTTGCCATATGGTGAGAGACATCCTCCTCCTCTATTGTTATAATGAGTATAGTGCCTCTCTCATCTCACCCTGTGGACTGGGTGACCAGCAAAGCTTTTTTCCTCTGACCCAGCACTGAAGTAGGGAATGTTTGTGGATAGCATCCACAGTCCTTGATGAGACTGGATAGGGAGTATTCTTGCACTGCATTTTGTTTATTATATTTTATGTTGTTGTACTAAGTGTGTATTCTTGCCTTGCATTATGTTTATTGTATTGTTTGTTGTTGCATAGCTAATTACCTTATGCTAACTGTGTATTCTTGTCTTGCAATATGTTTATTGTTGTTAGGAGCAAGCAGATATGATGAAACGAGTTGCTCCCAAATGAATATGACCACTGTATTGTCTACTCTTCATTATCACTTTGCCTCAAATTGCTGATTATGTACGTGATAGACGAAGTCAATGAAATGAGAAAGATGGACATGTATTTTGTATATGTTATATGTACATTAGATGCATTATTTGCACACCATGATGTTAATCTCAACACTGTTATATTTTCTTTTTTCTAAGGAAGCTTGTCATTCAAGAGCGTCTTTGTAAACAGCTACAGTTTTCTCTTCCCTATATTCATGCACGATACCTATTTCTTGTAGTTTCACCTCTTTCTATCTGAGACAATTGCAGCTGAAGTGAGTCCTTGCAGACTGGTGCAAATGTCACACTAAGCATGTTCCCTTGTCTGTTCTTTGACAACTGAATTATTGAAAAATGATTAAAAGAAAATTTGATAATTCAATAGGGAATTTTGAAATAGTTTTACCGCAAAGTGATATTGTAGTGAAGGGGGTGCATCTATTATAGATTAAAAG